TGTGCCCTCCCCCCTGAGCTGTGTCGCTGTCCGCTGAGCTGTGTCCCTGTCCCCCTGTCCCCTGTGTCCCTGTCCCCTGAGCTGTGTCCCTGTCCCCTGAGCTGTGTCCCTGTCCCTCTGCCCCCTGAGCTGTGTCCCTGTCCCTCTGTCCCCTGTGTCCCTGTCCCTCTGCCCCCTGAGCTGTGTCCCTGTCCCTCTGCCCCCTCAGCCGTGCCCAAAGCAGCAATTCCAGGGAAAATCCAGCCTGGAGAAGGGGCTACACCCTTCACAAGGGATGGAGAGCAGCTCAAACAGCACGTTTAAACTGCTTTATTTCCCCTAGCTGAGTCACACTCTCTTTGTTTCTTAATGAAATGCATCTTTTGCCTGTTTCAGCTGTTTGTGCTGAGTCCCTGCCTCACTTTTCCATCACTAATTGTGGCAGTCTCAGCTCCTTGGCATTGCAGGATCCTTGCTTTTTTTCAGATGTGGATGGAGCAACGTGGAATCATTTTGTGCTGAGCTTTGGGAAGCTCCACACTAAAGCAATACAACAATCTTTAAAAAAAAAAACACCCAAAAACGTGAAAAACACTGGCTGAAATGATTGTCCTGGTTTCCTTGACCAAGAGCAGTTATTTTGAACCAAAGGCTTGGAAATACTGGCGGTGATTCCTGCCAGGGCCATGGCACTGACGACAATCACCATAAATTTCAGAGACAGGAAAGTGTTTGAGTGTTGCCAAAAGAGCTCCCAGATGAAGTTTCTGCCTGATCCTCTGGAGTGCTTTGCAGTAGCTCCCACATTCCATTTGTATAATTTACTTGGAATTCCATATTTATTACAGAACACTGGGTAAAATCGAGGCAGTTTCAGTGTGCCAGTCGTCCTGGTGCTCCAGGGAAAAGATTTATTTCTTTTATTCAGTGGAAAGATCCACCTGGCTTGTTCATTTTGCTGCTCTTCGGTTATTAATTAGAATAACTCTGCTGCTACAAACCCCAAACAAACCCAGAGCATGATTTGTGCTGCTTTTGTCAGCCGTGTTTCCCTGGAAGCTGAAGCAGGATTGAAGGATTTCTCAAACCTCATGGACGTGCTGTGTTACCCCTCTCAGCTCATGCAACCTCAGCAGGCCCCAAAGTTCACTAAAATCCACGATTCACATTTTATCACACCCAGAATTCCCATTGCTGGGGTTCTGCTGGTGCAGAAATGAGCAGGGTCTGACAAAACAATTTCCTTGCTCTCCAGTGGAGCCTTGTGTCCCTTCAGCTGTTCCTGAGTGCAGTGCACCACTTTAAATTGCTTCTTTAACCCCTGATGAGAGATTGACTGTGGTGGGCTTGGTTCTATATAATACAGAGCTGGATATATAGATATAATCATTATATTTATATATCTCACATATCCTTTAACACTTTCCTGGAATCACAGACTGCTTTGAGTTGAGGTCTTTAAAGATCTTCTGTTTCCACCCCATGCCGTGGCTGAGGAACCCTCCACAGACCATTCCTCTCCTCCTTTGATGGCAAAATCTCAAATTTCCTCCCTGCCCTGGGGCAGAGCTGCCCACGGCACCGAGCTGGGGAATTCAGCTGATTTCACACAGAATTCAGAATTCAGT